TGTGTGTGTGTGTGTGTGTGTGTGTGTGTGTCAGTGTGTGTGTGTGTGTGTCTGTGTGGAGTGCATGTTTGGAGATGAAGGGACAGTGTGATGCTGGAGTCAGACCAGGATGAGCACAAAGTTTGGAGCACCTCTGAAGGACTGAGGGTGTCGTGGTTTGTGTGAGTACCTGTTGTAGCAGTGTGTGTGTGTGTGTGTCTGTGTGGAGTGCATGTTTGGAGATGAAGGGACAGTGTGATGCTGGAGTCAGACCAGGATGAGCACAAAGTTTGGAGCACCTCTGAAGGACTGAGGGTGTCGTGGTTTGTGTGAGTACCTGTTGTAGCAGTGTGTGTGTGTGTGTGTGTGTGTGTGTGTGTGTGTGTGTGTGTGTGTAAATTACACAGGGACAGTTTGGGGGTGGGAGTGTCTTTTTTTTCTCGAGTTAATTCTGTAAAAATGTGAAAATTTGAATATTTTTTCGTATTTTTCTCATCATGTTTGACATCTATAGATCTAAACATTCAGTCCATCAGTTCACAAAACTGAACAAACTCCATAGAGCTCCTCAATGCTCCAATCATCATCATCATCATCATCATCATCATCATCATCATCATCAGTGGCAAAGATGGAGATCTTATAGAGAAATAAATCAACCTATAATTCAACATTCTGGTAAAACTGAGATTTTGACAGATAAAAGTTAAACCCAGAGTTTGATGAGGACCACTTGTTCCGGACCTTTGACCCGGTCCACAAAGCCCCAGGTTTGAATGTAAAGTTTGAGGAGCCCTGCTCTCAGCTCAGGGGGGTCTCATCAGAGTGGGCTTCAGGGCAGCAGCTCGCCATCAGACGCGCTGCTGAGGAACGCGCGGTCCTGCACTTGCAGGAAGGAGTACATGAGGACAGCGGCGCACGCACGCGCACCTCATCATTACGATACTATCCAAATTGCGGCACGCACGCGCCGCTCCGCACCGACAGACGCTGCAGCTCCGTGTGTACCTGAGCGCGCGCGCCTTTTCGGTGGGCTTCTGTCTAGGGGGGACGCAGTCTGGAGCTCATGCACCTGTCGGATGTGGCGCTTTGAAAGACGGCAGGCAGGGAGGAGAGGGGATGGAGGAGGAGGAGAAGGGGGAGGAGGAGGAGGAGGAGGAGGAGGACAGAAAAGACAGATGCAGTGGGGAAAAATCAAAAATATAAAAGGAGGGACATCAGCTCCACCTTACCTTGAAAGGGAACATAGGACATGTTCCAGCAGCATCGGACGGTGCGGCTCTGCGGCTCTCGGTGCTCAGAAGTAACGGCGGCAGCAAATTACAAATAAATCTGGGAGAAAATAAATAAAAATAAAATAAAATAAAAAAGCACGCGGTTTACTCTGCTGTTTACAGACGCAGGAGGAGCAGGAGGAGAGGCCAATATTCCGCTGTTATAAAAACTGGCTTCATAATCCACGACCGCCTCTGAGAGCGCCCGGCGCGAGGTGCGTAAAACCCAGGATGCAGGGATTTATGTGTGTCTGCGAGCGTGCGTGCGTGTGTGTGTGTGTGTGCACGCTGCTGCTGAGGTGTGAGGGTGAAGCACGAGTGGCTGTGTGTGCGCGCGCGCGTGTGCGAGAGGAAAAAACAGGGGGGTGGATGGTTGCGCGCGCGCGTGCTTGCCGGTGTGTGGGCGCGCGCCGGTTTGCCAATAATCTCCGAACGATTTTTTTTTTTTTTTTTTTTTTTTTTTGCTTTTAACATTTCTGAGCTCGCCTCCCAGAATAGAGCTGCTGTTTTTTTATTTTAAATTTAAAACATAAAAAAGTATCAATTCTCTGCTTCAGGATAGAATGTGCGTGTGCGCGCGCGCGCAAAGCCACTGATATAATTCACTCAGCCCACCCTGAGTGAATAAAAGATATTTGAGGCGACATTAGATGTATTTAACAGCTCTTTTCGGTGTGAAACCTTAATATATTTACATTATTTTCACTCTCAGCCAAAATAAATAAACAATAAATAAAAGCTGAAGCAGAATAGCTGCATGATAACGGGATTACACTGCATGTTTGGGCTTACATAATCAGATTAAAACAAGTGTGTAGGCTAATAAAACAAGCCCAAACGTCATTTTCTAACAATGTTCTTAAATCACACAAATGTGTCAAAAAATATGTTTCAAAATCTCGAATATTTGCAGTTTTACTCCATAAACAATCATTTTTATTGCAGTGTGGCAAATTTTTCTTTTGGAGACTTCATTTTTAAATGTATTTTATTTCTAATAAATCTGAATTACAAATTAAATATGTAGTTTTTGGTATTAAACATATATATTTCTATCTTACCAATAAACTTAAATACTTAAAGAGAAAATTTGTTTAAAAAATCGTTAATGTTGTGTATGTTCAGTTAGTGAATTGTTATTTTGATATATTTTCTTCGATATATTAATATATTTATTGCGTCACACAGATTTGTAAAAGACAAATTTGACGTTTTCTGTTAATAGTTTTTTACCCACCTGTTGAAAACATCAAAACTTCTTTCTCTGGTTCTAACAAGCCGCTAAAACAAAATCAATCAGCAAACATTCAGTCCATGTCCTTATTTGAAACTCCAGAGTGTTCTTCGGTAGAAAAATAAAGTTAAAAATGGTTAAAATTACACAAAAGCTGCCAAAACGGTAAGAAACTGTGGAACCAAAATGGCGCGGCTGCTAGCTTGTGCTGCCTTTGCGTCGCGTGGGGGAAAGTAGAAACGACGAAGCTAGCGCAGCGTTGTTGCTAAATCACTTTAAATGAAGTAGATTTGAACGTTTTTGGAACTGAGTTAACGCTTTGTACTTTCGTAAAGTCGAAAATATACATAAATAAGTTAATTTTTTATATCAAACTTATTCGTGTTGGGTTTGAGTTTGCTAAACCTCTCAAAGTAACGTAATAGCACCGAACACATCACACTGTTGAACATGTAGGTAAGTCTGAAAGGTTTGTCCTTATTCTGTGTTCAGACCATTTAACAAACAAACCAGCCCGTCCAACGGAACCTTTTAAACCGTGTCTTTCTCTAACTGCTTAATTTCCGATGCACACGTGAAGGCAGCACGGAGCAGCCGTTGCTGCCTTGAAGATGCTGAGGTTTTGTCGCCATCTTGTGGGCAAAAGATTTACCTGCAGTTTTTTTTTATCGGAAGTAGAATTAAATTTGAAAAAAAAAATCTTATAAATATGCTAATAAAAATGACTACTAATGTGTTTGCTTTAGTTTCCTAAAGACTCCAAATATCCACGAGAATAGAGTGCAGAAAGAGTAACTGTTTCCAGCCTTTTAACTGCTGAATTTCTCAAAATGAAAATAAGCTTAGACGGTTCTCATAAAATATTTATGGCGACATTAAAAAGTATTTGCCTCAGTCTTCAGGATGACAACATGAACATCAGTAAAGTTTTTTGTTTAACCTTTAATGTCACACAGTCATCTGCACAGAAATTTGTAACTTTTTCTGTGAACCTTTTTGAAATTAGGAAGAAGCAAATTCCTGAAACTGATCATGTTTGTGTTAGCATGCAACAAGAATGGGCTCCTTCTGTTTATTAACAGATATATACAATACAAAGACAATAAGGGTCAACACAACTGCAAAGTTTCAATGTTCAGCAGCATATTTGATGTAAAAATGAAAGAAAAGAAGCAAAAAATCTTCTACAATAATGGATTAGCATCTCAGAAATAAACAAGTCTTAAAACCAGTGAGTTTTGATTATTTGGCTTATCCAGTTGTCTTGAATACTGGCACTAAGACAAGATGAACATCTGTCTTTTGTTCTGGCAGCAGCCGTAAATGTGTCTGCAACACAAAACAGCTAAAACCGTCCTTCAGGACAAACTTGGCAGTGAAGTGATTCTTCACTCCCGTCCAAGTCATTTACAAGGCTTTTCACAGATTTATTTAATATTCAAAACTGAGATTATTGGAATAATACAATATGGCTTTCATGAAGGTGAAATTTGAATTCAGAGGTGACTAAAGTCTCTAAAACTGACCTGAAGAGTGACGATCTCCCTCAGATCGTCTGAGTTTTTAAGTTCTGATCATTTAAACCTTGTTTTTAACTAAACCACTTTTTTCTAAATGACCTTAAAACATGTCATTCAATAATTTACCACAATTAAACATGGCCCTGTCCCAACTTCTCCAAATGTGCTGCTGTATCTTCAACTCAAAATGACCCCTCTGTGAATAAAAAAATGTAGAAATCATCTCATTTTATTTATATTTCAATTTTAAGAAATAGATCCCATTTTTTATGGAGTTGGAGATCAAAGAGGAACAGCAGCATCCAGATGGTGGCAGCAACAAGTCCAGAAACCAGGTTTTGTGATGTTCTGGACTTGGATCCAGGGGCGGAGCCAGAGGGGTGGCTGGGGTGGCTAGGGAAACCCCTGGTGCCACCCCCAAATAATCAGCAAGTGGATGAGGATCTTGAATTTTGTATTTGCATTTAAATTTTGTTAAAGTTTGTTCTCTGATATATAAATTTCCAGCTGTTTATTTAAAAATGGCTGAATTATAGCCCTTTTTATAATTAGCATTAGCAATTAGCTTAATTTAAGATTAACATTGGCAATCAGGTTGTGATCATTCTTAGCTACTCCACAATAAATTTCATCTCATCTATTTTAAAGTCAGCTGTGGTGGCCATCTTGAATTTTTCATTAGCATTTAGAATTTGATATGTTGTTTTTAATTCTACATAAATTTTACGCTAGCCAAAAGAAAATAAAAACATTATGACAGCGTGAGGAAGAAGAGTGGACAGTTGATGAGGATGAAGAGACAAAACATTTAAAGTGCCTGTGGCAAATATCCATGAAATACAAAAAGCCAAAAAATAAATATTTATACTTGACATAATACACAGGATTTTACCTGTTATGGCACATAATCGCCATATTTTCTTTTGAACTTGCCTTGGCTAAAATGAAACAGGAAGTGACATCAAAGGGGCACTCTTTGGAAAAGAAAACACCCTTTTTTTTATTTGAACTACGACTCTTTCTCATCTCTCTATAGTAATTAAAATAATTTAAAGAAACCTCACTTTATTCTCTACTGTCTGTTGTTAGCCATAGTGGCACTGCTCTGTTTACATTCAGACATTCCCCTTTGACATCACTTCCTGTTACTTCACGTGCAAATATCTCAACAACTGTTCGTCTCAGCGGCATGAAATCTTTTTTACAATATTTTATCAGTGTTATCTTCCCAAAAATACACTCATATATATTACAAAAATTTGATGCCACAGGCACTTTAAAACACTTGAATTTTTACTTTCTGGAATAAAAATCAAGTCAAAAGAGATAATCTCCGTTTTTATTTATTTTTATTTTCCACACAGTCCCAATGTTTTGCTGATAAGGAATTTTACCAACAACAGTCACACACGCACGCGCGCGCGCACACACACGCACACACATACACACACACACACACACACACACACACACACACACNCGCACACACATACACACACACACACACACACACACACACACACACACACACTCCACCACCTCTTTTTATTTTAAAGATAACTATAATAATACAGGAAAATAACAGACATTTCTGTAGGTAAATTTTAAATGAAAACTGTAAAATCTTCTAGACACGGTGAGTGTTTTTCTTTAAATATGTTTAAGTGTTTTTTCTTAACTTGAAGGAATCACCAGGAGGCTGAAATCTTTTCCATCATCACTGTAAAATAATAAATGTAAAGGCATATTCCAAAGTTAACAGTACAAATATCAGGGGAACACTAGCAAAGAGGAACATTTAGTCACGAGTAGTGAGGTTATAATGTAGAACTGAGGTGATATTATGAGATCAACCTGGATCTGCAACTTTTATTTTTTTTGTTTTATACACTGCCACGTATCAAATACACAACAGTCCCGTGGCAACTGGACAACAGTCATTTCATCTCCTGTTTTCTGCCTCAGTACAAACTCATATTGTCCCACTCCACCAGGTACTGCACCTTCCCATCTGCCGTCACTCGTCTCGCCAAGATCCTCACCGCCTCACCTCCCCCCCAGCTCCTGGCCACAGTCCCGTCACCCCCTCCCACCACCACCCCCGGTCCAGCGCCTCCCCCTCCACTCACGCCCACCTGACAGGGGGGGACGTCGCGCAGGATGAAGGGCTCCGGCTGCTTCTGGCCCGGCTGGTGCTGCTGCTGGTGGTGGTGTTGGTGGTGCTGGTGGAGGTGTTGGTGGTGCTGGTGGAGGTGTTGGTGGTGCTGGTGGAGGTGTTGGTGGAGGTGGTGGTGGTGCTGGTGGAGGTGGTGATGGTTGTCGCTGGGGTTACAGGGGTACGGGAAGCATGTCGGGGGTAACCTGCAGGAGTCCTCCACGCTGGGGAAAGTCAAAGACAAGGGCAGGATCACAAACAGGAAACAGGTTTTAAAACTGTGGATGGTTTCGAATTAATTTGTTTTAATTAAATGATTTACCATATTTTTGTAGTCTGGACCTAATAGTCCTTATTTAATGACTTAAAATTGGATGATAATCCCATATAAAATAAACATCAGCCAGAACATGAAGTGTTTCACAGTAAAATTTGCAGTGTTAAATCAACACTTAAAAGAGTTAAATTTAACACTGTGCCCGAGTCTCTTTGGTTCTTATCTGAACTGGTGTCAATTTAACTCTTTCCTTAGTGATCAATTTTCAGAGTACAATTTAACTCTAAACAGTTAAAAATCAACACGTAAAACTTAACACTGTACAGTGTTAATAAAACTTAACACTGTACAGCATTAATAAAACGTACCACTGTACAGTTTTAATAAAAATTAACACTTCAAGTCAAATATCTCTGAGGGTAATTATGATTCTAAGCAGCATTAATAAGATACTCCACTGTGGTGACAAATCAACTCTGATTCTCGTGCTTTTCAACACTGCATTGAGTTATTGGTGGTTAACACTGGAGGTTCTTATACCTCCGACGAGTGTTAATTTGACACTCGACTGTTGGTTATTTACTCTTGCTGTGTAGAGGGGTGTAAAACAGAAATTATGAGGTGTCATCACACAGCAACACTTCAGTGTTAAGATCAACTCATTTTAGTGTTGTATTAATATTACACAGCAGTTTCTGGATAATGGAGTCGACCTTCACACACCAGGAAGTACCTCTCACTCATGGAGTCGATTTATGGCCAATAACACAAACTTAAACTTGATCAACTGATAAACCTGAACAAGAAAACTAAACAGAACAACAAATTTTGACCCTCATGAACTTCTTTAATAGTCATAAACATGCAGACACATCATTTCTACACGATTACCCAGCATTCCTTGTGAAAACACTGGTCTGTCTGACATGAGGTGGAAGAGGGCGGGGCTTTTTCAGAATGCTTTTTTCAACACTGCATGGTGTCATATAACAATGCTGTTAAATGTCAAATAAGACTTAACTGTGGGCGGAGCTTATTTAACACTGCCCAGTGTTGAGACAACACTGAGGAAATCAACACTGTGAGTTAAATTGACTGAAAAGTTTAACGCTGGCATTTTGACACTCTGGTTTTTAACACAGTTGGTTCTGTTTAACATGTGCTCAGCTGTGATAGGTCCTCAGGAAGGTTGTGACACCATCATGGTAGTGGCAGTGTACTGGATGGAGAGTGGGGGAGTGTAGTGATGGATCCAGGATGTCAGGCTTGGTTGTAGAGAACCTCCTGAGACCCTGTGTCCTTGTATGGGGACGTATTTTTGTCTCTCTGCACCGATGCTTCTTTTTGTCCCAACTTTGACTCAATGGCCTCATTATAAACACTATCAGCACCATCTAGTGGTCACATGACAACATTACACTCAGTCAGTGAAAACAGGAGCTTCTGCAGCAACATTTGTTAGATAAATGGGAAAGATAAAAATCCAAATTATATTTCAAGCTTGAAACGAGTGTATTTACGCACAATTACACCTCTAGCTTCACCAGGCATACAAATCTGACTTTTTTCATTTGTAGCAAAGTACAATGTTGTTAAAGATGAAGTCCTCATATGAGGACATTGGGTCTTATTTTGTTATTGATTGTGCCATGAGGTTGGATAAACTGGAGAATATTTTAAGGGTAGCGCCTTGCACGGCTGCTGAACCCGGGGCACCTGTTCTCCTTAAACGGGTTGTTTTGAACTGTAATTTCTCTTCATGGAGTCAATAAAGTATCATTCATTCCTATTTAGATGAGTTCAGAAATGTAAATTGTTGTTTTAAGTGGTAGATTTAGTCACAGATTTTGGTTAGACAAATTTAGTACAGTTCATAACTGTAAATAATTATTGCAAATGATACTTTTGTTCAACCAGGTAATCATACCTAGGATATTCTGGTTAAATGCTCTGTGATTTCCTGTCATCATGACATATAACGGCTGTGTTTAAATTCATGGGTTGCAGCTGACGTGAACCACGGCTGATGTTGGTCAGTCTATGAGGGCCGCAGGCTGCTCGTGTCGGCTGCATAAACGGCTGTGAAATGAGACGGTCTCTACAGAAGATGTATGTATGCGTGACCACGCGCTGCCTTGTTACCATGTTGATATGTTTCATATCACATCGCTTCAGTTGTTATTTTAAAGTAAAACTTCATAAAATTCAGTTTTAACAGAAAAATGTTACAAATGAAAACGCATCAGTAATTTGTGTTTAGCTCCTGTTTCAGTACTTGTGACTGGATTTTATTTAACATCTCATTGCAAAAAAACTTTCTTCAACTAAGTTGTTCAACTTACGTTCTTTGGTCCGTGATAAATTTCCAAATGCTGCCGTAAAATTGAAAAATAAAACTCTGCTGTCATTGTTTTTCTGTTTAATTTGCTGATGGCGCAATGAATTCTGGGAAACCATCGGCAGCGTAGGATACTCAGATGTAGCTGAAGTTTTCAGGGTTTTGTTGGCTGCATGAGTAGTTACCTACGAATTGGGACAGCCTACGGCACGGGGTAGTGATGTAAGCAGCTGACGAATGTAGCTGACGTCGACTGCAACCCATGAATTGAGACACAGCCAATATGTTCTTCAAAGTGAGTAGCAACCTGAAAGTTGTCACTTATGATGATGATGATGATGATGATGATGATGATGATGATGATGATGATGATGATGATGATGATGATGATGATGATGATGTACTTCACTGATCTTGCTCTAATCAACAGCTGGCTGCTGTAGAAAGCCAAAATCACCAGGAAAATGCTTTAGGAAAGGCTATCTTAAAGTTTCTTAAATTTTGCATGGTAGTGGCTCTGGTGTTCCTCAAGAAGCAGGACATTTTTAGACCCAGTGTCCTCATTTGAGGACATCAATTTGTTGAACCATGGAGTCTAGTTAATATACTTATAAGGTCCTACTAACTCAATGTATCTTGGAGGTAGAAAAATTGCACATCAAACAAAAGATTGTGTCTTGCACAGAGAAGATCTGCACTTCGTGGAAGTCACAGCCTCAGAGTGAGTCGGTCGGTCGGTCGGTCGGTCGGTCGGTCGGTCGGTCGGTCGGTCGGTCGGTCGGTCGGTC